GATAGAGTGTGAGTGGGGGAGGGGCAGAGAAGAGGGAAACAGAGGATATGAAGCAGGCTCTACTTCGATAGCACAGAGCCTGACACAGGGCTCAAACTCACGAACCTGGAGATCATGACCTGAGCTGAAGTCGGAAGCTTAACTGACAGCCACCCAGGTGCCCTCAGATAGGTACTTCTATAATCACTTACAGTGTAACCATTTAAAAATGTAAACACCATTATTAGCTTGTAGGCTACTGACCAGATTTGGCTTAAGAACCAGTTTACCAACTCCTGAGCTAGAAGAACCCCTTTCCCTAGGTCCCAGAACACAGCATGGAATCTTGAGTGCTGGACATGAAGGGAGTAGATTGGTGTTTGCTGCGGAGACTGCAGGGATACATCCAACTCCCTTGACGTGGATGCAGAAATCCAAGTATAAAGTCTGTGTTCCATGATGCTGAGTGGAAAATGAAAAGACCCAAGGATAGGGAACGCCTGCGTGGCTCAGTCGCTTATGTGGTAGATTCTTCATTTCGGCTCAGGTCATGATCTCAGTCGGGAGATCAAGCCCTGCCTGCATCGAAAGCTCTGTGCTGGGCATGGAGTCTGCTTAAGATTCTCCCTCTCTCTTTGCCCCTTTTCCACTTGTGCACGCACATGCGTGCTCTCTCTCAAAAAAAAACAAAAAACAACCCCCCCCCCAAAGGTATATAATTTAAATTCATTGCTGAGTGAAGGTGATGAAGGCAGGCTTCCTACAGAAGATAGGCTGGCTGGGGGGTACTTGTAGTGATCAGAATTCAGGCTCTGGTCTCATGTGGTACTTGTCAAGTCTCCTTTGTGCTCTCAAGGGACTTTGGACATTATTGCTTAAAGATGAGGGAAGGGAGAATGTAATGACCAGGCAAGCAGACTTGGGGGCAAGTCCCCGCATTTCTACTAACTAGTTGTGTGGTCTTGGGTAATAACTTGGGTAAGTTATATTACCCTGAGGATATCAATACCTAATCCCTTATAAGGTTGCTGGAAGAAATGAGAAAGTGTTCCACAAAGGTACTAGCTCATCACAAGTAACAGTTATTAATAATACTAATAATGACAGCAGGCTTCTTGGGGCATTTTCTACATGCCAGTCTCTGTTGGGGTCTTCCATGTACCTCATTCCACTCACAACACCCATGAGGCAGGTCTTCTCATTTTGATTTAACAGGTAGGGCATAAACTGGGGGAAAAGAGAAGTAACCTATCAAGGTCACAAAGCACCCATGAGAGACGGCTGGCGTCTGAAGCCACAAAGCTAAGCCCTCAGCTGTCTCCTCTTCAGTATCGCACTCTGCAGTGTTTTAGTCATCTCTGCCGGGCAGCCCAGGGCTCTGCACCCCTTACCTCAGGCTGTCAGAGAAGGCCTCCAGGCCAAACTTGGAGACACAATAGCCCCCACCATTGGCTGCCAGGCGACCCAGAACACTGGTGATGTTGACCACCCGGCCCCTGGCCTGCTGGAGCAGGGGGAGCAGGGCAAGGGTGACCCCAATGGGACCCAGCGTATTCACACTCAGCACCCGATGGAAATCATCTCGTGTGAGCCACGGCGTGGGCCCAATGATACCAGCCACACCAGCATTATTCACCAGACCAAAAAGCCCTGTGGAGAGATGAAACAGATCCCGTCGGGTAGGTAAGGCGTTCCAACACTCTCTCCTGATCACTCCTCCTTCCCCACGCAGTTTTTCTTGCTTCCCGCCGCCCCTGTGACTGAGCACCCTGCACCACGAGCCCTGTGGCCCCACTGCTACTCACCTGCTTCACCAACATGTGTTTCCACCCACTTGGCTGCCCGCTGGACACTCTGGGGCTCAGTGACATCAAGCAGGGTGGTGTGGAGGCGAGAGGAGGCCACACGCTGTAGGTCCTCTGCCCCTGAGGGGGTCAGGCAGCTGGCCAGGACTCGGAAGCCTCTCTGGTCCAGTCTCAGTGCCAGAAGCCGCCCGAAGCCTGAGTCACAGCCGGTGATGAAGATGAAAGCATCGCTGGCAGGCAGGCTCTGTCGGTCCCTGAACAACCACAGCGCTGCCCAGACCAAGACTCCCAGCAGCAGAGGCAGCCACATGGCCAGAGCCCAAGTGACCTGCAGGTGGCAGCCGAGACTGGGCAGGAAAACTTGTCTAGTTTACTCTGGCTCTTAAACCCTTGCCCCTAATATCCTCCCCTCCCTCACTGGAAGTCTGGTCTGAGCATATTGAGAAATTATCTGCTGGGCGGGTAATTAGCAAACTATGGCTCATCTAAGCAAAGCAAAGATTGAGGCAGACCCTATATTTGTTGCTAACTTAACTAAAATCAGATTAGCGGGGTCCTGTGTGCAGGCCTGCTGCACGGGAGCAGAGGGATCTGGTTCGCAGTCACCTCTCCCGCTAAGCCAGGGACATCTAAATTCTCTAAATGTAAACTGGGCCTTATTTTTTGAAACACATGGGGCAAAGAGCCCCACATTTTAGTCCTGGTGGCCCTAAACTTACTGTGGGATGCTGAGTATCTCACCTGTTTTCTATTTTACCAGTGGGGCCAACACCCACCGTGGTCCACCTGGGAATTGTGGAGGGTCAGAGGGGATAATGTGTGAGGAAACACATGAAAAGCTTTGACTTATCAATAAATGCAACACCTGGATACTCCTCTCATAGCACCCAGCTCCCAGTGCCCTGCTTACCTCCTCTGGGGAAAGCTAGCAGGTAGGTGCCCCAAATCCTTCTTTTCCTTTGTTCGAGAGGCTTTGCTCCCAGTCTTCCCAGGTTTCCACACTAGCTACAGCTAATGCCAATGTCTGCAGTGGGCGGACTGGGTGTCAGGGTATTAAGTGGATGTGGGTGAGGGGAGGGGCTGAGAGGAGGAGCCAGGGAAGCTGGAGCCTGGCAATTGAAGCCAAGGCTTGGCACAGGCCAGGTGTGCCCCGGCACCCTTCTTGGCTGGCTTTACCAGCTGGGGGTACCTGACCACCTGTGTCATGGGCTCCCAGGAAGAGGGCTATGTCAAGGATGGCAGCTACCCCTCTCTGTTGGTGACCTTGGACCTGACACTCCTCCTCCTTCCAAGCCCTGAAGTGCCCCCATGACCAAGAATTAATCTCCAACCTGGTCTGGACTCATGACACTGCTTAGCACCAGGCTGGGAGAGGCCATGAGCACGTGGAGAGGCAGAGAGCCAGAGCCAGCACCAGGCCTGCTCCCTGTCCTATTTCTCCTCTGCAAGAAACTGAAGTCCTGTGTTAGGAAGCTTGGGGCAGGGCACCCAGACCTTCTCTGGGGAGGTGTGGGAAACTTCTACCCTCTAGGTACCCAACATACACCCGCACCAGGCCCAAAGAGGAAAAGAGGGGTGAGACAGTAAGAGGAAGCTAGTTCCACCCTCTAGCGAAAGGGTACCTGTAGCTTAGGGAGACAGTCTTTGAATCTTCCACTCCTACCCACCATGCTGGGCTAGTAGCTCTTTGAAACATACCACAGAGAAATGGAGGCTTGTGTTTTATTCTTGTCTCCTGCCCCACCCTGGGGGAGATAGGAGGGGCGGGGCAGAGGAAAGGGAAGAGGGGCTAGGAGGGGGCAGACTGCAGCTGCCCTTTGTACACGTATTCCAGTGCGGTGGCAATAGTTCGCATGTCCAGCTCGATGCTCCGAGCCCAGTTCTCCACATCCCCGATTTCCTGGGAAGGGGAGGAGGTGGGAGGTGGGGAATCAGGGTGGGTAGAATGTAGCTCTAAGGAGACAGACAAGGGCACTTTCCGTCCATCCCCTAGAAAGGGCTTTGCTTGGACCCACCAGCTATTTTCATCTCTCTAGCTTTTCTGACACTGGGGCCATACATGGCATTTCTGGGACCAGCCCCACTTCTTTTTTAACCTGAGGCCTAAGGTGACCCGACTGGAGGCATTTAACGGGGGCCCAGGATGGGGCCAGTGATGTAGGGAGTGTGGCCCACCTTGAGTGCCTGATTGAAGTTCTCCACCATCCCGATCCACTGGCCTGTTTGCTTGGCAAACTGGGCAGCCTGGACCTGTAGGGTCTTCACCTCATGATCCAGCTTTCTCTGGTTCATGTAGGCCTGGGCCACACTAGAGGTTGGAAGAGAGATGAGATCAACTCACCCGGCTGTTGGGGAGTGGTCTCTAGGACTAATATTCCACTGCAAGAGCCGGAGGTCAGCCAGGAGTCAGGCTGGGGAAAACCTCATGATTTTGGCCATTCTTGGATGTGATGCAAATGACTACTGTGCATGCAAATGAACCAGCTTCTTGCTCCCACTCCCAGGATTCCCAGGAAAGCCTAGCTGGGAGCTGACTAGAAACTTACCATCTCCTACCCCCCCAAAGGAATTCCTGAAGCTGGGTGGGAGAAGGGAGGATTCCCTGAGGAAGAAGCTGAGAGGGTAAAGGGGTGCAGAGAAGCTGGGAAAATCCAGCAGCAGGGACACATCTGGCAGTGATTGGAAGCCCAAGGGTCTGTGCAAGAAGTTGGGAAGGGAAATTGGGCCCCTCCCTGACTCTGGGATGGGATGGGAGAGTGGCTCCCCTCCCCAGGAACTCAGGGTCAAGAGAAGATATCCCAGGGGCTGCCTCTTGGCTCTCAAGTCTCTCTCCCAACCCTTCTCTTTTCGCCCACACAGATGAACGAACACACACACACATAATCTCTCTCTCTCCCTTCCTTCTTTCTGCTCTAGGCAGTTTTTTTTTCTCCTCAACCAAGGATGGCTGTACTTACCATTAATACCATGAGGTTGGTACCTCCAACTCTCTGCCCTGTTCCCCCTTCCCCCAATCTCACAATAACTGTTCTCTCTTACTGGCTAGGGAGTCTTTTCACTCACCATCCCAAAGCTCTAGGTCAGCTGGGAGACTCCGCATCCGGTATCCACCCCCCACTGGAATCTGTGGGGGCTGGAGGGGGCAACGGGTTGGGGTGGGTGGAAAGAGTGGGAAGGACACCTGACAGGGGCTGAGATAGACTGAGCCTTTGTTTTCCTTTCCAGGGAATGAGAGGACCCGTGGGCAGAACACAAAACCCTTTCTAATCTGGCTTTGGCTTAGCTGTCCTTTAAGCTGAAAGAGGGGTGGCCCCTAGCAAAGGAAGAGCATAGGGAGAAGCCTGGGCCAGTCTCACAGCAGAGCCCGAGAGGCGCCAATGTGGGAGGAAGGAAAGGGGGCAGACCCTGTCCTTTTTCTTTGGGAGACAGCTTGGCCATAGTAGGGGGTAGTGTAGGAGCTGAAACAGTAATAGCGGGCTCCCAATGCTTCAAGAGATTCCCCTGGGAGTTCCTAAAATGCCAGTTTTTCCTATTGACCTCCTACTTTCACACTGAGTGAAGGGAGAGGTCTGGAGGGGAGAGATCAGAGGCCCCAACCACTGCCTTCTTGTCCCTTAATCTTCCCCAGAGATGAGTAATGAAGATGACAGTCCCTGCATGGCTCACTTGGGTGACTCAGTCTCTGGATTCACAGCCAAGCTATTCTACTTGCCCTGCCATGGGAGACATCATACTGCCCCTTTTCTTCCGACAGATAGCCTATCACATCATCGTCGCAGCACTCTTCTGGGTCACTCAGGGTCAAGAGACAATATTCTTTGCTCCTTCCCAAGTTTTGGGTTGTTACTGGCATTCTCATATAGGGCTGGCACAGGGGGTGGTCTCTGGAGACCGGGAAGGAAGGGAAGAGACAGCCTGGCTCTGCTACAGCTCCTGGCATAGGTTCTGCCCTCACCCTCACTGGCTGTGCCACCTCTTTCCTGCCAGCTGCTCCCCAGGCCTGCCAGAGGGTGGGAGGTAGAGAAGCAGAGGGTGGCAAGTTGTGGTAAAGGAGGGTGCTCTCCCTCCTGCTGAAGCGACAGCTGGACTTGGAGGAGTGAAGGGAAGTGGGCAGATGGCATCAAGTTGTGAGCACCAGGGAAGTTATTAGGGGGAGGGGGAAATCTGGCTGCCTCTTCAACCACTGCTGCTGCTCCTCCTTGTGCAACGTTAGGGGTCAGAGCTGACTCAAGCCTTTCTCTATAAAGTTAAGCTGGGTGACAGGAATGGAGGGAATGAAATGGAACATCTCATCCCCTCAACAGCAATCTGAGGGCTAGACGTTGCCAGTGCCTAAATTTGGGGGGCGGGGGGTGCTGGTGGTTGATGGGAAGAGGTTCATACCCCACATTGAGGTGATCCACCAAAGCTTCTGTCAGGCAGGTCGCTGCAGTGATAGCCTCTCGCCTCCTCTTCTCTGGGGGTGGGGGAAAAAGGGATTGGAGTGGAGACTTGGTTTTTTGAAGCGTGGTGCTGAAGGTTCACCACCCATTAATTACTATTCCGCTAGTTGCGGGAACATCTCAGCTAATCTCACAGCGCCAGAGCTGAAAAGGACCTTGCAAAACATAAAGGAAGCCTTTTCATTTTATTTCATTATTAAAAAAAATTTTTTTATTAGAAAACTTTTTTTCTAGGCCTTTTCATTTTAGAGGTGAGTTAACTGGTACCCTGGGAGGGGAAGCGACTCACCCGGGAACGCTAACGAGTCAGTGGCAGCGCCCAGGACTCTAGACCCTCGGGCACTATTTTCCCACAGTCTTGGCTTGAGGATTGGTAACTCCCGGATTCCCTGGCCAGATTCAGGAAACAAGGGCCCCACCCCTATTTCGGTGGTTTCAGGCCTCTAAGAGTCCCGGCTCAGTCGGGTCCTAGCACCCCCCTGCCTTCAGGAGCGTCCCTTGCCACTTTCAGGACGCGAGGCTCCCTGGGCCAATCGGCACCGCGTTCCACGCGCAGGGGCGGGACCAGGATGCGGGAAGACAGAGCGTGGGGGGCGTGGCCCAGAGGAGGCCGCAGTGTTGCCGAGGGGCCAGAGCCCGTTGGCAAGGTAACCGAATTTCCAAAAAAGCGCCCCCACCCCCCTCCCCGACGCCCATGCCCAATAGCCCGCGCCCTTCCCTGGATCTGGGCCGTTACTCGAGGTCCAGGCTCCGGCTGAGGCTAGGCCGCGGCGGGAGAGAAAACGGCGGACAGGGACGTTCTGCTCACCCTGCAGCTCCTTGCGTTCGTTCTGCTTGGCTTGGTGTTCTTTCAGCAGGCGAGACAGCA